TATAGTTTGAAACTATGTAGTGTGCTGTCTTGGGCTTTGTTCTTTTTGCTGAGGATTGCTTTGGCTATTTGGGCTCCTTATTGCTCCATATGAATTTTAGAATAGGTTTTTCTTAATCTTTAGAAAAAAGTTGTTAGTAGTTTGATAGTAATAATGTTGAATATATAAATTGCTTTGAGTAGCATGGCAATTTTAGCAATATTGATTCTTCTTATCTATGAGCACAGAATGTTTTTCCACTTCTTTGTATCATCTCTGATTTCTTTTAGCAACACTTTATAATTCTCATTGTAGAGTGAGAATTCTTTCACCTTGCTGGTTAGCTATAATCCTAGATATTTTATTCTTTTTGTAGCTATTGTTAATAGGATTCCATTCTTGATTTGCCTATCAGCATAGACATTACTGACATATAGAAATGCTACTCATTTTTGTACACTTATTTTATATACTGAAACTTTGCTGAAGTTGTTTATCAGATCTTGGAGTGTTTGGACAGATGCTATGGGATTTTCTAGATATAGAATCATATTATCTGTGAAGAGAGATAGTTTGAATTCCTCTCTTCCTATTTGGATGCCTTTTAGTTCTTTTTCTTGCCTGTGGCTCTGACTAGGACTTCCAGTATTATGTTGAATAGGAATGGTGAGAGTGGGCATCCTTGTCTTGTCCAAGTTCTTAAGGGAAATGCTTTGAGCTTCTGCCTGCTCAATATGATATTGGTTGTAGATTTGTCACAGCCCCTCAATCTCTTCTGGCTTGTAGGGTTTCTCCTTAAAGGTCTGCTGTTAATCTGATGGTGTGTGTGTTAGGGGGGGTGTTAGACGCATTGTTCAGGTAAAGAGATCATCATCAGGCAGGCTTCATGTGGGCAATGAGGCTTTTTATTCCATGCTTGGGTGGGCCAAGTCCAAGGTAAAGAGGGTAGGAAAGGGGACTGGTTATATAGGTTGGGGCAAATGGTTAAAGGTGGTAATCTATCTTAGGGAGGGGAAAGGCATCACGGGATGCATGAGCAGGGTCATCTGTTATAAGCAGGCAGGATCATAAGGGTGGGGATTATCGGTTGCAAGTAGAGGGGAGGGTGCAGTAAATTTCATAGTTACAGGGAGGGGGTCTTGAGAAACACAATGTCCAGGGGGAAATTTTCCCAAGGCTGAGCAGGAACAGTGGTTGAAGGTTGCAGGGGGAGAGCAATTAGTTGAGTCAGGGACAAGTTGTTTCACTTCTTTCTGTGGCCACCTGGTTACCTGTGGTTACTTCAGACTTTCTGGCTCCTGGGGATCGTCCAGAGTGTACATGTGGGTCACCAAGGCTATAATGGCCAGGCTTGGACTTGGAGGCCTGACAGGGGGTTCCCTTTGTTAAGTGATTTGCCCTGTCTTTCATGTTGACCTTGGAGAATCTGATGACTGTGTCTTAGGGATGATCATCTTATATAGCGTCTTATAGGGGTTCTGTGAATTTCCAGGTTTTGAATGTTGACCTCTCTAGCAAGGTTAGAGAAATTTTCATGGACAGCATCTTTAAATATGTTTTTCAAGTTGTTTGCTCTCTCTCCCTTTCTTTCAGGGACTCCAGTGAGTCTCTTTATATAATCCCACATTTTTAGAGGCTTTAAATTTTTAAAATTATTTTTTCCTTTATTTTTGTTTGATTGGTTTAATTGTAAGAACCAGTCTTTAAGCTCTGAGATTCTTCTTTTAGCTTGGTTTATTCTACTGTTAATACTTCTGATTGTGTTATGAAATTCTTGTAGTGAATTTTTCAGCTCTATCAGGTCAATTTGTTTCTTTCTTCGAATGACTATTTTGCTTTTCATCCCTTGAGATAGTCTTATTGGATTACTTAGATTCCTTGGATTAGATTTAAATCATCTTCTCAGTCTCAATGATCCCCATTGCCATCCAGATTTTGAATTCTTTGTCATTCCAGCCATTTCATTCTGGTTAAGAACCATTGCTGGGGAGCTAGTGTGGCTGTCTGGAGATAAGAAGACTCTCTGGGTTATAGAGTTGCCAGAGTTCTTGCACTGGTTCTCTCTTACCTGTTTTGGCAGATATTTCTTTTAACTGTGGTATATTTTTAGTATAGTCAATTGACTTCTGAATGTTTTCAGAGCACTGAGGCTTTGTGTAGAGTCTTTATTTGTAGCTGAATTCTTGCCCTTGTTTTCATAGGGAAGTATGTTGACAAAGTATTTTTATTGTTGTAGTTTTGAGTACAAACAGAGGACACTTATGCATAATGGTTGGTAAATAGGCTCTTACTGAGGCATGTGGCTCCTCTGCATTTCCTTGTATTTGCAACCATGCTCCTTCTCGGTGCTCTGAGACTGTGGGCTCCTCTTTCACTTCAGTGCCAGCCATAGATCTTGGCTTGGCATTCCCAGGTTGTGCACTGCAGCCCTGGGGCAAACTCAGGCTTTTTGGTCTTTCCCCAGTTAGGGGCAGCAGGACTTGGCAGTGCCAATAGCATAGGTCCTGTCACTTGTTTTTGCAAGCTCCACATTAAAGGCAGAGCACTGCCAATCAGAACAATCAGCTAATGGTGAGGCGGCTGTGTGAGGGGCCCAAGCCAGGGAGCCCTGCCTGGTGAAGAGCAGGAGGAGTGGGGGCTCACTGGGAAGACAGTCTGGTCTTTTCTCTGTAGGTCAGCCGTGGTGTGCTGGACGCTCAAGTAAAGCACTCAGGCTCTTTTATCTTCCCCAGCTTGTTGGTAGCAAGGGTGAGTACTGCTGCAGTAGCAATGGCAGAGGGGCTGGTTGCTAGTTACCTCTGGGAATTCTACCCCAGAGAAACACAGAGCTGCCACATACTGAAGAGATCAGACAGAAGTAGGGTGGCTGCACTGAGAGTTGAAGCCAGGAGGCCCTGCCCAGTGAGGAATAGCAGGAGCGAGGACCTGCATGAAAAATAGTCTGGCTGTTTTTTGTATGGCAGGTGTGGCATGCTGGAGACCTGAGACAGTCCTTGAGCTCTAGATTGTCACTGTAGCCTCAGGGCATGGGGATTGGGGAGACTGTGGCAGTGACAAAAGCTGTGAGCCTGTTGTATTACTTCTGGAAGCTCTGCCCCAGAGAAATGCAGAGTTGCAGCCAGTGGAAGTGCTCAGGTTGGGGGTGGTGGGATGATTATGTTGAGGACTTAGGCTGGTGGGCTTTGCCTGATAAGGTGTCCCAGAGGTGAAGCCTGCAGTCTGTCCACTCCTCGGTATCCTAGATGAGGCCCTTATTTTGGGGGCACATGGGAGATCTCTGGTTTCCTTGTTGGCAGAGCTATGGCAGATGGTCCGAGGGTGCTCAGGAATACAAAGCCCTTGGAGCTCCACATGGGCCTGAACAGTGGCTCTGCTGAGACTCCATGAAGCTTTCTGTGTCAGTTGGGGGCCCCACTAAGTAGGGTTGGGCAGCATCTCTTGTGCCTAGGTTTGCAAAGGTTCACGGCATAGGTGTGTGTCCCCAGGGGCTCTCACACACTCACTTTTTTCCCATGGTAGGGAGACTTTCTTGGCTCTATGCCAATCCCCGGGCAGGCAGCTGTCCTGCCTCACTCCTCTCATTGTCGATGAATCCCAGTGTGGCCTCCTGAATGATCCAGTTGAAGAGCCACTTGCCACTTATAAGTTAATAAGTTTACTTGCCACTCTGTCTCCTCTCCTGTGAAAGCAGTGCACACTGGCTGCTTCTAGTCAGCCATCTTGGCATTAAAATCTAGGTTGTGTTATGGTTCCTTATGGTTCCAAAATTATTTTTGAATTGCTTAGCACATACTTCTAGAAAAACAAACCTACTGAAAATATTTTGTGATGTGTGTACAGTCAATTCTTCACTCACTTGCCTATGTATTAGGGCATATGTTAAATATTGTACTGATGATTTACCTGTATGAGTTCTTTTTTCCCTTTTATGGGTTCACTAAGTTTGCTTTTAGTTTTAGTTTCTTCTTATCCTTTGTGATTTTATTTTTTTTTTTTGAAATATATGGAACCTGAAACTAATACTAAAAGTAAAAAATATACTAGGTATACTTAGAGAAGTTCCATTCCTTCCCTAGTTCTCCCCTTTTCATCTTGTAGGTAATCAACGGTATTGTATTTTTATATCTCACTTGTTTCATTTTATAAAGCTAAATATCTTTCTAATTTCCTTTTTTTTTTCTTATTTATCCTTCTTCCTTACCTAAAGGTGGCATACACATTTTCCCTTTTTCAGTTTTTTTTTTTTTTTTTTTTTTTTTTTTACTTAACATTATCTCCTGGAAATCCCTCCAGGTCAGTTTACAGAGATTTTTTTGAATTGCTTTTACAGCTCTATGTATAGCTGTTTGTGCCACATTATTAACCAAAATTTTCATTATACTAGAGTTTACAGCAAGCTTGTCCAACCCACCTTATTTTTGTTGTGGTTATGGTTCTGCTTTGTTTTGTTTTAGGCTTTTAGCAACCTAAAGCCATGGTTTTTAGTTTCTGTCTCTAGTGATAAGTGGAAAAGAAGAATGATTAAGGGCCTTTACTGGCCCAACCAGAAACAGAAACTAAGAACCCATGACTGTATTCTCCCCTTGGATACCCCTAGAACTTTATAGTGTATACATTGGCTTATTCAACCAATATCGAATGCTTGAACACTTATGTGGTTTTGAGTATTTTGTAATTACAAATAATGCCGTAATGATAAAGTTGTACATATGCATTTTTATTGTTTGGTTTATGATATCTGTATGATCTATACAATCTAAATACCTAAGATAAATATAGTTTAACTATATATGATTCCTAAAAATGTTTATAAAATGACAAAGCATCAACATACAGCCATTAAAATTCTTTTTAGCATTTTCTCATCAAATCTATCATTGTTGTAATTTAGTTATAATTTTGTAGAAGTGAAGAGAATGCTCATGTAAATGTTTTATAAATTTGAAATATAGAAATTTCACAATAGATCCATTTTTTTAATTTAGTGGAGTAAATGTATTAAATGTATATTCTTTATGTAGCTCATAATGAAGTAACAAATGAAGGGCTTGTAGTTGAGCATCAAGAATCAATGTCAAAAACTAAATTGGAAGTAAAGCAACAAGAAAATTCTGTAGAGCAACAACTCACTGGTAAGTATAAGAATTATGCGTAACGTTAAATTATTTTAAATTAGTCACAGCAAAGATATTTTTCTTCAGTTTATGAATGTTTTTTATTATATATTTTATAGAAATTTTACCTTGAATCTAAAATGTGAGCACCATAAGATAACTAGTGAAAAAAAGTAGAGTATTCATTACTTTTGGTTAGTTTTTCTGCTTTAACAGATAGCCATGGTCATGTGCTCAATATTCAAAAAGGACAATAACAGGCCAGTAATTGTCTTTCAAAAAGTGTGTACCTTTTATCCAACTCTAGACAGGTCCAGAAGCCCAATTTATTCCACTGATCTGTTCAGTAAACTTCTTCAATCAGTGAACAGAAAGTTTGCTGAGACTTGTAACTCAAATGAAGATCAAAGCGGCCAATTTATTCATAACTTTACAAAAATGAGAGAAAATGCCACTGCATGCTTGTAAATTTTAAATCTATGGCTTTCAAATAGATTTATTTTTAATTTAGCGAACTAAACACATCTCTTTCTGTAGCTCATGATGAAGAACCAGATGAGAATCTTATACTTAGGCATCAAGACTCAGTGTCAAAATCAGAAATGCAAGTGAAGGAACAAAGAACTCTCAAAGGGCAAAGAATTACTAGTAAGTATAAAGAGTAAAGATAACTTTACATTATTTAAAAGTAAGTTCATCAGAAGGTATTTTTGCTTTGGTTCACAAATTTTTACACTTTGACTAAAATGTGAATTTATTCTCTAAAATTATTAGAGAAAAAAGGGAAAAATATTGATACGCTTTGGTTGAGATTTCTGGCTCTAAGATTATTTCATGACCACAGGACACACAGTACTCCCTAAGGCTTTATAACAAATGTTTACTTGTCTTTCCAATGTTAGGTGCTGTTCAGCCAACTCAAAGTAATTATGGGCCAAGCCACTTAATGGGCACCTCTCACCTGTGACCTTCTGCCAAAGGCACCAATCAGCAAAGATAGTCCTAAGATCTGTAACTCAGAACAGCAAATGGGGATCATAAGAACCTAGAGGAAGATAACCTAGGATACCTGTTTAAGGACCTCTAGGGCATCCTTTTGGTCATGGCTCCACTGAAATGAAACAGACTTTCTGGTAACCCCATAGATGAATTAATGTCATCAACGATCTCACGGAGGGAAAATGAGAATGTATTTATCCAAACAATTTGGTTAACTGCTGGGCTTTTTTTTTTTTTTTTTTTTGAGATAGGGTCTCACTGTCTTGCCCAGACTGAAGTGCAGTGGCCCAATCTGGGCTCACTGCAACCTCTGTCTCCCATGCTGAAGCCTCAGCCTCCTAAGTAGCTGAGATTACAGGCATGTGACACTACACCCAGCTAATTTTTGTATTTTTAGTAGAGATGGGGTTTCACCATGTTGGTCATGCTGATCTCAAACTCCTGACCTCAAATAATCCATCCACCTCGGCCTCCCAAAGTGCAGGGATTGCAGGTGTGAGCCATTGTCCCCACGCTGAGCTTGTTTCTGTCAGACTAGAAAGGGTCAAAGCTTGGTAGTCTCTTCTGGAATGAGATGTCACCCCTTAGAAATCAATCCTAAGCATTTTCATCCTGATACTAGGTAACTGTATCTTGTCTGAACTAATTGCCCAGCTAAGAGGCACTGGTGGGTCATTAGAGCATCCAGTCCTTTTGGGTGATGTCCTTGCTTGAGTTCACTTAAATGATATAATCAATATAATGAAAGGCTAGTCCTCCCCTTGGGACCAGTTCATTTAGAGGTCATTATGCATTGATGACAGTTTTAGAGCAGTTTGGTAGCCTTGTGGAAGGATATCAGTTATGTTTTCCAACTTATTCTGTATAAGATTAAACTGAACATCTAAGTGAAAAAAAAGATATGAAAAGGCATTTGAGATGTCAGTTGTTGCAAACCAAGTTCCCTCAGTTTGGAAAATACCCTGAATGACAACTATAGACTCATGTGTCTTTGGTGCCTAGAGCTGTAAAATAGCATTGGACCAGCAAAATCAATTGAATCATTATGCACCTGAGGCCGTGTACAAGATCTACTTAGTTATTGAATGGAGAAAGAGTCTCAGGGAGAACTTTTGCTTCATTAAGCTCAACAAAAGACAACAGCCATTTCTTTTTCTTCCTAGGAAGCTATTTTGGAAAATAAAGGTGCTAGGTGCTATTAATCTGGATATTTACACTCTTCCACATGCCCCACGAAAATGACTTTAAATGCCGAAGTTTTCCATCAGGGATTGGGATGAATGCAAGTGGGGGTTCACATAGAAAATACATTTATACCAACAATACATTTGGTGGGGGAGGGGAATAAAATACAGTTTTGTAGTTGTCTGAAAGGATATTCTCATGGTAGTGTTTGACCAAGGGTCCTGTTGGTGGTGGCCTCAGATGCAAATCTAGAGAGCATTGCTTCGTTTCCCCAGAAGTTGTGGGGATCACAGCCACCTGTGCACCAGTATCCCAATGGCCCTACAAATGCAATTTCCTCCCACCTTCCCTTTAAATTCTAACCTTACCATACATTCTCAGATTGCTGCTGATGATTTAGGGATCTTGGTCTAACTCTTAATTTTTATTTTTGAAAGCATGAAGTTTGAGCAGAAGTAGTGGAGGGCTCTCTGACTTATTTCAATATCACTGGGAGGTGCAGAGGGAAGAGTACTTTTATTAGTCATAGGGGTCATCACAGTCTAGATTTAGTGGAGCCATGTTTTGGGGCCCATGGCCCACTACCTGACCAGGAAATCTTTGGTGAAAAGTTCATCAATGTCCTACTTCAGACTCCATCGTTGATTAACTAGACTCAGATATTTCTTGGGGAGAGCCCTTAACTGGATCATCCAGGAATAGGTGACAAATTACCATTTTTAGGTCACCCTGCTCACTGGTCACACATTGCTATCTTGGTGGTAGATGTTTCTGTGCCCCGAAATTTGTCAATTAAGATCTGGATTGTGCCACAAATTAATCGACATTACCTTATAAGGAAGTTTAATTGAGCTGGGTAACTAGTGAAGGTGGCTATGAAATGAAACTAGAGATCTGAGTCTGGCCAAATCTTGTTATTACTGTCCTCACTCCATCAGTGACCTTAGAGACAGCAGAATGGCTCAAGGGGCCATTATAGCCTCCATAGTTGATGGCTCAGACATGTTTTTCAGTAGCAGGGAGCTCATCATGGGAGGCAATCCTGTCAGAGCCAAAAATAGTGCCCAACTGAGGAGGGAGAGGGTTTCAGATGTTTACATCATTGATTCCCCTTCCTCCACTTCCTTAGGCAATATGAGCACTGTCAAGGCTCTCTGAAGAGGCATTCTGTAGTGATAAGCCCCACGATATGCCTTGCTAAGTTAAACAAGATTATCCCCTTTATTGTGAAGGCACACTACCCACATCCCTTAGTTGCTGGGCAAAATGATCAGCAGGACTCTACATTGTTTTTCATTAAAGCATGAGTCTCAATAACTGACTGCATTGCAGGCTGTCTGCCAGTTTTAGGGGAATGCCTATGACTAAGAATAGTTATTAGGATAACTATTAACTATTAATAGCAACTCGGTGTGCAGTCTCTCCAACTTTTTTGAGCTTATTAACTTAGGACCATGAGCAGTAACCACAAAATTGCTTCCCTAAGCTGTCTCAGAGCCCGTCTGCTGGATTTTTTCATTTGACTCATTGGAAATCTTGGTATGTGAATCAGAGGATAAGAAGACTATTGTTCCCTGTCAGAATTGAAAACCTCCTCTAAACAATACATTAGCATTCTAGAAAACCCCATAGTGTCTGCTGGCACATTCTAAAATGTGGGATGCTGAGTCCCTTGCAAATGATCCATTACCAACCCCATACCCCTTCCACTGAGAGTATCCTGCAGGCTCACTAGCAACTACCAAGTGTTCTTTACAGAAAGGCTTTGTGCTTCATTGGTCACCCTGCTCTTTGTGGTAGTTTGTCGGAAAGAGAAATGCCAGTTTTTGAGTTGGTCTATTAAGATAACACACCGAGGCGGGTGGATCACGAGGTCAAGAGATCGAGACCATCCTGGTCAACATGGTGAAACCCCGTCTCTACTAAAAATACAAAAAATTGGCTGGGCATGGTGGCATGTGCCTGTAATCCCAGCTACTCAGGAGGCTGAGGCAGAAGAATTGCCTGAACCCAGGAGGTGGAGGTTGTGGTGAGCCGAGATCGCGCCACCGCACTCCAGCCTGGGCATCAAGAGCAAAACTCCATCTCAAAAATAAATAAATAAATAAAAAATAACATGCCAAACTCAAAGTAACAATTAACTTTATGCACTTACTGGCATATTAAGCCGTAGCCTAGACAGAGGCAGGTCCCCAGCTATACCAGTGTCCCATTTTACCCCATAGAACAGCAAGCACTTAGCAAGGGTCAGATGCATCAGTGTAGACTGTGTGAGTGGTCATGGGTTGGGGTTGTCTCATAGTGGAGGGAGCTGCAAACAAGAAGCTATTTTCCATTTTATGGATCCTGACGCTGAGTTAGCTGGAGCTCTGAATCACATGAATATTTTTAGTTATTTGCTCCCTGTTCTAATTCCTCTCAAATTGAGTTATACTTGGTTAACACATACTAGAACAACAAACCAACTAAAAAGATTTCATGATTTGTTTGCACTCCACCTCTACCTCTCATGTCCAGTAGTGAGGGTTTATGTCAAAACTATATTGATGAGTTATTGCTTTTATTTTTTATCCAATAATTTCATTATTTCTTTTTAGTTTTCATCCCACCTTCTTTTCCTTGTTGATTTACTTTTATTTTTGAAATCTGTAAAAGTTGAATCTTTTATTTTTGAAACGTGAAGTAGGACATGGATCTATTTGCAAAAGTAAAAAAAAAAATACATGCAAAAATTATACTTAGAGGAGTCTATTTTTCCCCAGTCCTCCCCCCTCATTTTGTAGGT